CCCTAGTGCTCCCATTGACAGACAGCGATGCACAGGACAGGGACAGCGGGGGACACTCCTCAGGGCAGGACCCAGAGTGTGTGCTCCCGTTGACAGACAGCGATACACAGGACAGGGACAGCGGGGGACACTCCTCAGGGCAGGACCCAGAGTGTGTGCTCCCGTTGACAGACAGCGATACACAGGACAGGGACACGAGAGAGCTGAGGTAAAAATATGGGACCTCGATGGGTCAGGACGCTGTGCCTGTAATCTGAAGATTGCAAGTTCAAAACCCACGGTCGGCAAGCTGGTTTTGGTTGGGCCCTTGACCAAGGCTTTTAACCTCCAGTTGCTCCAGGGTCTGGCTGGCCCTTCGTCCTCAAATGTGTGTCACTTAGAGTAAAAGCATCTGCTAAATGAATAAATGTACCAAAGAAAACAAAGATTATCACGCTTCACGGCCTGAAAATGGCTAAATCTACACTGCTGGAATTTTACTGGTGACAGGAGAGAGTGGAGCTTGGACTGTTTACCAATCCTCCATACCCCGCAGGGTGATCGAGGAGCTGACTCAGGCCCTGCACTCCAAGGAGGCCCTGGCTGAACAGCTGGCAGAGGAAAAGGCCTCCCTGCAGGGGCGCGTGGACCAGCTGGAGGACGAGGTGCAGGACCTCTCAGACTCCCTGCAGCAGAAGGAGCAGGACGCTGAGGTGGGCCAGGGCCAGAAACACGCCTGTCGGCATTAACACTCATCATGGTCACCGTTCATTGATACAATCCGTGGCAACTGGAGCCAGGATACCTCTCTTCTTCACTTCAGTTATTACAATTGATGTTACAGACTAGCCAAGATAAATCCCATGGTATTCCTGCTCTCATCTATCCATTCAGCATCCATCTTCACATTCAGTTCTGTTCACAATTGGCTCATTGTGGATTTATTGGTGCATTGTGTTGCTGTTGAGAAATGGCCTATGCCATGTTGTGAGTGAAATGCCAGTATGTGACTTAATGCTCAGCTCACCAGAGTCATGTTTTATATATATATATATATATATTTTATTTTTTAAATGCATGTATGTAAGCCTAACACAACCACGCCATACGAAAACCTTTTTTCCAGCATCGATATGTGAATACCATGAATATCTGATTTTCTGTTATTTATGAGTGCTGTTTTATTAATCCTCATTGATTAATCTCATTAAATTGCATGATAATCTATATGAAAAAGGAGTTTAAAATGTTGTTGTTTTTGAACAAAGAGGCGGCATTCTGCAAACCCGGCATTGTATAAACGTCTCCTCCCTGCTTGCAGTTTTTCCAGGACGAACTGGGCCGGGAGAAACTGCGCATTCAGCAACAGATGCAGGTATGTGGGTCGAATCCTAATGACCAGCCCCGACTACTGTCCTCCCGCCACATCCTTCTCAGTGATGTGCAGCTAGAGCTCGCCCTCTACTGGAAGTCATCTCACACTGCATCTGGGCGGTAAAAGTATGTACCAGTGGCTGTGCCAAGCCCTGTGGTGTCATATAACATGTCACGCTTTAAATGGAGTCAGACATCAAAATGTTAGTATTCAAAGCTCAGAACCTCACCACAACGCAACATTTAAATACATTTACATTTAAAACCAAACAAATAGCTCTAATGTAATTTCACATATATTCTTTTTTTAGAAACGCATTTCATACCATGCAACAGGAGGCTGGTTACTGCCGTTTATATTTTTGTGACGCTGTTTCTATTTAATCACGCTGTGTTTTTAAATTCCCTACTCGCGTATCAAGTTCTCTTTCTGCGATAATAGCTGCTCTTCTTTTACTTCTTGTGTTTCTTAAACACGGCCGACCTCTCCCGGCCCCTATAGTAGTTCCGACTTTAAAATCCCGTTCTTAAGAAATTCCTAATTGCTAGGGAAGGAGATGCAAATCTTGTTCCTTCTGCTCCAGCCCGAGTCCATATCTTCAGCAAAGATCTTCAAATACCTTCAGTAGCTTCACACCCGCTGTTCCTGTTTGGGTTTCCTTGCTGAGTGCTGTTGACTTATTAAACAAACACAGAGGACTGAAAAATGACACAGTACATATATGTATTTGACTAATATACAACAATTTTTAAGGATTTTTCTTTTAATTTTAATTCATGAATGACAAAGCTGGAATGTTCCTTTCATACTTTAACTTATTCATATGTAAATTGTATTTCATTGTCTTCAGATTACAAAAAGCTTTGTGTATACCTGTGAGAAGATCAGTGCTACATATTATCAATTCACGCTACACGCTGCGCGCGCAGTGCTACATGCTACATGCTACACGCTGCGCGCGCAGTGCTACATGCTACATGCTACAGTCAGTGTCTCCTGGGAGTAAAAAACATTTCATTTATTTAACAGCAACATTCATTTGGGAATCCTGAATATGTTATATATGTATGGAGTTTGTAAGTGGGAAAGTAGTCGTCCACCAATCAGAGGCCCCAGCCTCTGCGTGGGCTTGTCAGGTGACTCGCTGATTTCTCTCATTCTTCACTTTCTAACAGACTAATGATGTGAGCTTGTTAACTGCCGTGGCTTATTGGCCAAAGCATGAAAATCTGCCTTTGATTGTGTGATACCTCTTTTTCACAGCGTCCCATTAGCTTAACTCTAACTACTCTACGCTGTAAGTCCCCCCCCCCCCCAAAAAAAAAAAAACCTTTACAATTTCTGGATTCAACATCCCTGGTTTTCCAAACAGAAATTGCTGTAAACTCTTCATTAGCCACCAAAAAAGGCTTAATTTTTAAATGTTTCTGTGTCTTATTATTATTTTATTGTTTTTATTTGAAAAGGTTTTTAGAAGGCAATGTGAAATATTTCAGTTTTGTCCAGCAGACACATATTAATGTGCTACAGTGACTTGTATATGTGTAAAGTCATTCTAAGTATGTTGTTTCTGGCATCATTTCCAGTGCCAGACCTAGCAAATTACTTTGAATACAATGGAATTTTATTCATTGTCCTCATTGTTGAAAAGTTAAGCAGTATTGTCATTGCCCTGTTTGGTTTTTAGAGCTTTGGTGGCCGGTTGGTCTTGTTAATCTTTAACCATATGTAGACAGCAAAATCTCAGTGTTCTTATTCACTGCAAATAATAGATGAGAAACAGAATTATTTAGAAGTAGAAGCTGATGGGTTAATCCATTATGCTGTGAGGGGGAAATTTCATCAGTCATGTCATGGAACCGCTGTTCCTGTAGGCCTGACATAAGACTGAAAGCAGCAATGGAATGACTAGAATTTAGGCCCGAGATACTTTGGAATTTAATGCAAAAAGCACGGGGTGCTGTGTTTGACGGTAACAAGAAATCATGGTAGCCCGTGTCTTCATGATAAGTTACTAGTTTTGCATTTCTGTAGTTTAATTATATTTTTTGTTACTCTGGATAAAGGTATCACTCAAAAGAAACATGAGGCAAATGCAGATGCATAGAAGGTGTCAGGAAATAACACATTTAAAAGTACACAATGAGATTGTAACAGTAGAGAGAACAAAAGGAAGCTTTGGAGTCTTCAGTCAGATCGTCATGGGGCTTCCACAGCTCATCGTCGACTTTGTGAAGAGAGATTCGGAAATCATCCAGGATCATTTGGGGAAATGGCAGGTTTTTTTTTTTTAACATAACAAAGCAGCCTTGTAATAATGTGATTCCCTCCCCCATTTCTGAACATTCTAGAACAGCAAAGGTTCAAAAAGTCAAGCAACTAAGACAAAAATAATGAATGTCCTTAGGCATGGATATGAGTTTTACTCACATAATTCTTTGAGTTTGAGCTCTGGGACCAGCACCCACCCCTGAGTGTGCGTGGCTCCATAATCACTGTTATCTGTCTCATGAAATGGCCTTTAGTGACGCCTCTCTACAAAGCTTGTGACGTGCAGCGACCCCCCCTCAAACACACACTTATATGCACTGAAAGTCTAAATCGCGACCTTGTGATTAGACACCCCATTCCTGCCGGCCATTGTATTACAAAGACATTAGCACAACATGATGCTAGACTTATGGTCTTTAAGTGAAAACCTTAGTGGGACAGGTCTGACTCCCACCATCTAAGTTGTTTGGAAGGTTCACAGTGAGGAGCGCCGCTTTTCTTATGATAACAGTCATTTTCACAGTGCAGTTCCCTGTCATGGTTGTAAAAACATGTTTTGTATCTGAAATAACATAAGCAAAAATGATTGTTCTGTGTGAATTGATAAAATGAAATCCCATAGAGAAACCAAATTTCAAATTGAGAAATATATTTAGGTTCAGTATTAACTATGTTTTATTAGTTAAAGTCACAGTGTAGTTTTACTGCAAAATGCTTGTTCGATATATCCATCCATCGATCCATCCACCTTTGAAATTCTTATCCAGTCTTAGGCAGGACTGATCCCAGGCCTTATCCCATAATATTATAATATTATGATCCCATAATTAATAATAATAATTATTATTATTATTATTATATGAAGAAGAAGAATATGAACACGAAAAAGAAGATATCATAATAGTACACATAATAGAATAACAGGAAGGAGGAAAATTTAAAAATTTATTATAATTTATAGTCTTTATTGGTAAATTGACATTTTGAACTACGCCGAGGCCATTTATATTCTTATATTTTGAAATTTTGTAATGAGAACGTATGGAGAACGAGCCTTGAATATTTTAGAACATTTACGCCGCGCTACAGCCGAAAAATTAAAGGGGAGTCAGGAGACGCCGAATAGACGGCGGAATATGCAGGATGACCGCTTAGGACGGACTGTGGAAGTACAGGCGGTTACAGTGTTTTTCTGGGTCATTTTTTCAGCTCACCGCGACCGACACGGATTATTGAACGCATTTATTTTTAATATAAACATGTGATGCGGTGATAGTGATGAAGGTCCCTTTTGGGGCGGAGATGATATGATGCCGAAGTTGGGCGGCTGGTACGGCAGCGTCCCCCCTCGGCGCGGTGATGGTACGCTCCGCGGGAGCTTCGTTACAATGTTGCCACATCACTGCCGCCTGATAGCCGCTTTCTCCCCCGTATGTAAATGTCAGCCTGCTCTTCCTCTGTCTCTGCTGGCGGAAGCAAATCACGAAACCGCGGTTTGGCAGGACGTCGGCACTTTTTAAAAGATATATAATGCCGCGAACGAGAGAGACGGGATCCTGTGTGCGCTTCGGTGCAGGACTCGCCCTTCTGAGGCGAACCTGACCAGACGCGTTTTCTCGGGATCGGCAGCGATGAAGCCAGCACGCCACGTTTGTTTGTCATCGGGACATGGACTGTCATTCGAGCCTGTTAAAACGAAGATCTCTGTTTCTTTTTTCGTTTTGGGTTCTGCATGACAAGCGATTCGATACGATCTAGCCTAACCAACAATATAAGGGGCTTGTTGACCAAGGATTTCGTCGGTGTACATATGTATTTTATTTAATTTATTGTTAAATCGGTACAGCAATGGTGGCTTTTACAGTGCCGAAATATGACATGGCTTCTGGCCCGTAACGGCCGGCGCTGCATAGCGTTACGTAGATGCTGATCCTGCCTTGAGGGTCGCCGTCTCGGATGCTGATGCACGGCGCCTTAATCTACCCGTTTGCTCTATATACATGACTCGTTTTACTGTACGTTAGGAATTTAATATTATTTATTTATATATTTATTACTTCGGTGGTTAGATAACTGCCTGCTGGTGATTTTGCACTGAAAATTTGAGAACAGAGTTGACAGGCTGGTTTATTATTATATGTTTTTTTTTTTAATTTTCTGTACCGTAAGCTGAATATTGATTGTATTTTATTAGTCCCGAAGCCTACTGAAAGCAGACGCTTTATCATTTTGCACATTTATAAACTTATCTCTGGGGGAAAGCCTTGAGAGATCAGTCCTCAGCCCTGATGTTAGACGGCAGGATGAAGGAGCTGTGCCGGATCTGTGCCCGCGAGCTCTGCGGGAACCAGCGGCGCTGGATCTTCCACCCAGCCTCCAAGCTGAACCTCCAGGTGCTGCTGTCCCACGTGCTGGGCCACGACCTGACCCGCGACGGCCGTCCGGAGTTCGCCTGCGGCAAGTGCGCCTTCATGCTGGAGCGCATGTACCGCTTCGACACGGTGATCGCCCGCGTAGAGGCGCTGTCCATCGAGCGCCTCCAGAGGCTGCTTCTGGAGAAGGAGCGCCTGAGACAGGGCATCGGAAACCTCTACATGAAGACCAATGGCGAGGAGCCCAGGGCGGAGCCCCATTGCCCTGGGGGGCCCGGAGACTGCACTGTGGACATGTCTGACCTCCCCGACGCCAAATACAGTGCCCTGCTACAGGAGGACTTTGCCTACTCTGCGTATGAATCCTGGGCTGAAGATGAGGAACAGACACTGGAAGCTCACCACCACTGCCACGTGTCTGAGAGCTCGGGGTACCGGTCCCGGCGGTGCAGGGGGTGCGCCGCCCTGCGTGTGGCTGACTCGGACTACGAGGCCGTCTGCCGTGTGCCCCGCAAGCTGGCTAGGAGCATCTCCTGCGGCCCGTCCACCCGGTACTCCCTGAGCGTGTTGGACAGCGAGCGCAGCGACGAACCGCTGCCTGCATTGACGCCCATGACGGAGGGCAAGGCCGCCGCGGACGATGGCAGTCCGGAGGGTATGAGCCCCGCGTCGTCCGTGGAGTCCCTGGAGGTGCCTGCTCGGGAGGAGGAGCTGGAGGGGGAGGCCGGGGAGGAGCTGAAGTCTGATTCCCCCGTCGACGAGCGGGCCGGGACCTTCGGCAAGCTGGCACTGGCCTTCAGGCTGGTGAAGGACTTTGAGTACCGGCCTGTGCAGAGTCCACGTGGAAGCAGGCTTCCCGTCCTGGTGAAGCACGTCAGCCCCGAGAGCAATGGCAAGATGGCCGACGTGGAGCTCCGGGTGCAGTGTGGCAGGTGCTGTGGGCCGCCCTCGCGCTCCCCCCCTCGCCTCCACCTGGAGCTGCCTCTGGAGATGCCGCAGCTGGAAGACCTGTGGCAGGACGTCCACGCAGAGTACATGCCCTTCCGCTTACGGAAGGTACCGGAAGCCAGCGATTGTTAGTCCTCTGTCTCTCACTCTCACACTAGTACCATCAAGCCTAGAGGGGGATTCAGTCAGCTTATGGAATCTGATTTTACCCCAGATGTCAAGCTTACAACCATGCCTGTCAATTTTACTTCACCTGTATTACGAATCGACAGGAAACTCATTGTTTTTCCTCATTTGTGGAGGAGGCTCGTGCTTTATACAAGCTCAGTTCATCACCCTTCAGTTTGCACCTTGCTTTGATATATTATTTTAGGAAATCACCAAATTTGACATATGAATCATGTGTTTCATGTTCGGTGGATAGGCAGCACACATTAGGATGATGGTAATTCATTGTTGATATTCTTCTCAATGGTCCCCAAGGAGAATGCGTTTAGCTCAGTGACAGGGATATCGCTATGGAAACGGTTGTTGTGTTTGAAACTGCGAGTACATCCGACATCCTGTTCCTTTTTCTCCCTCTCACTTATCGACTTATTTTGTTTACATCGAGCTGGTTGCTATGGGGATACCAGCCCTTTTTCTCGCTCCATACCTGAGCTGATCTGAAGGTCGCCAAATGGTGTAGCTGTGATGTAACACTGGATGCTGTTACTTCATAGGAGGCTTTAATTTTTTATTTTTATTTTTTTAAATCTGGGGTGGGGGTTAATGTAGCCATTGGACCTTCCAGAAGCTACGTGTGCGCTCACATCAAATCTTAGCTTCACTGCACAATTACAATAACATCTCTCTCTGTGGTTCATTATCTGCAGTCTGTCCACACAGTAATAGATGCTGCACTCCATGCTTGCAGTAACCCTGTGCTGGAAAAGCAATTGCAAGTTAGGTGGATGGATGGAGGGATGGATGGATGGATAGTTAAAATGATGGTGCTCTATTCATGTAAACATTCCCACTTTTACATAAGCTCTCTTCCTAGCCTTGTTTTGTCACCGTTCCTGACCTAACCGTTTGTCTTTTTTCTCTCTTTTTTTTGTAGAATAGAGTAGAATTTATTCTCTAGCATAGTCTGTCGTCACCGGGATTTGATGTTGCCCTAATTTCACAGCTGGCCTGGATGGACTGCAATAGTGTTCAGTGTTTTATTTTATTTATTTTTTTTAGATCAAATTTCTATGGTCAGTGTGGGCAGCACATTATATATGACAGAGTGTGGTGGGGAAAAAACAATGGAGTTTTAAAACTTTAATGGAATATTGTGAGCCCCTTTAAGCAGAAATATTCCAAAAAAAAAAAAAGTCAGTGGCCTGTTAATACCAGGGAAAGTGACCCACTCCGGTTGAAAGAAGCTGAAACTTACTAGGATTCCCATATCCTCTCAGTAGGGGGGGGGGGGGGTTCCCTTGGATGTCAACATGAAAACAGGAAGTGTCAGTTGCTAGCATAGCCAGTATCTGTCAGGCATTGGGATTTAATTTTCCGCACAGGACCGAATGTGATTAGGATTTCGGAAACAATCTGCTGCTGATTAGGGATGTGGACGGCTGGATCGTATGTTGTGCTAGGAACTCACTGTTTGAGTGTTGTTGTCCCCCCCTTATTGCCCGATTACAAACTCTGGTTAGCTGCCAGTCCCACTGGGCCTGTTTTACCCTTTAATTTCCATCAATGATACTCATTCCCCAAATCCTTTCTACATTGGTGTTTACTGTCGTCTACCACCCCCCCCCAAGACACTATTTTGACCGGCTCTTCCTTTCGGGCTACATTATATTAATTTAGCCGACTCTCTTATCCGTGTGCGACATACAGTTGAAAAAATAGAGGCATCCAGTCCCTGGAGAAACTGGGACTAAGGGCCTGTCAGAAAAAGAGTACCGATTTGTACCTTTGCTTGTCACTGGGTCTGTACCCTCAAGGGTCTGCCAATTGTACCCTTAGCTGTAGGTAAATGTACCTTTTAAGATACAGAAATTGACTCTGAGGATCATTTTTGTACCATTAGAGGTATATAAATGTTGTTTGCACCTTGGGGATGTTCCTCAGAGTCCATTTCTGTACCTTAAATTAGACTAAAAGGTACATTTGCCTACAGCTAGAGTACAAGTGGCAGACGATTGGGGGCACAGGCCCAGTGACAAGCAAAGGTTTTTCTGACAGTGGTGAAATCAGTCTGCCAACCAGGGCAGTTGGACCGGTGACCTCCGGATCATGGGTACCGGAGCCACAGCACCCCCAGTCCTGGACCTGACGCATTGACGCTGTGTTTCTCTGCCTTCAGAGCCTGATCGAGGAGCAGCAGACCCAGCTGAACCAGTACGAATGTGCAGCTGGCCAGTGTGTGAGTGAACTGCAGAAGGCCCAACTGCAGGTCCAGTCACTGCAGGCCCGGATCCACAAGAGCGAGGTCGGCAACAAGGTGGGCCCCACTGGCGCTGACCCAGAATCCTCAGTTAGGTTGAATATTACTCAAAAAAGGCGCTACCTGACGGTGACCTGGCAGCCATGAACGGGAAGGGTGGCATGAATCGGGTGCAGCTTTTCACAGCGGCGCGTTTCTGCCCAGCAGAAGCTGCAGGAGAAGCTGTGCGAGATGGAGTCTGAGCTGCGGTCTGTGAGGCAGGCCTCCCAGCAGCAGGAGCGTACCATCCAGGGCCTGAAGGAGACGGCCGGAACCAAAGACAGAGAGGTGGGGGGGGGGGTTACCGAAAGGGGAGGGGCAATGGGTGGGGCAAACGTTTAGTAGATAGGTGCCTCATTGCCTTGCTGTGATACAGGCGCAGGAGCTCTACAGTGTCATCGAGGGCCAGAAGGAAATGCTGTTCAAGCTGAGAGAGGTGACACAGCGGCACCAGCTCCAGCACCTGCAGGTAAGACCCCTGGTCCACACAGTGTTGCCTGGGTGCCTGTAACTGGGGGGCAACACAGGGCTAGGTGCACAGCCCCATCAGGTTTCAGCAGGAAATATTTAAAGTGGAGAGTCATTGAACTGATTTATCTCTGAACACCATCTGGCCCTTGAGATGCATAGGGTTTCTTCTAGGGTGTCCTATTCCTCCTGTGTGCCCCCTCCAACCCTTCGGCGTGTGTACTGTATGTGCATCCCAGATGTCAGACAGGGAGGTGGCCCAGATGCAGAGGGAGCTCCTCGCCCTGCAGGAGTCTCTCTTTTCCACCCAGCTGGAGCTACAGGGCAGCCAGAGGGCCGAGAGGCGCAGCCAGTGGAGGGCCAGCGACGTGGCGCGCGACCGCGAGCGACTGCAGGCCGACCTGGAGGAGGCGCTGCAGCACCGGGCTGCCGCTGAGCAGCACAACCAGGTAAACAGCGCCTCCTGCTGTCAGCTCCTCTGCCGGGGAAAAGGAACAGCCACAAATGGCCGTCTTTAAGGAAGAAATATATTCACATTTATATATTAATACATATTTGTACTTTCATCACTGCATGACGGCATCAGCTTAGCAGAGAAGTGACTGAGATGAATGTCACACTGGTGCTCCCCCCCCCCCAACCCCCCCCGCCCACTAGGAGCTTCGGGGAGCCCTGCAGAGGTCCCGCTCCAACCAGCAGGCAAAGGAGGACCAGCTGAAGGAGGTGGAGATTGAGAAGCAGGCGGAGGTGGAGGCCAAGGACAAGACTATCCAACAGCTGAGGATCTCGCTCAGGAACAAGGAGCAGATGGTGCAGGTCAGGACAGCTGGATGCTGTTGGCATATCTATTGTTTATAGGAGGCATGGCAACGCTTGTTGAATAACAATGTTCTTCCTCCTTCATCTAGGAATATCTAGGGCTTCTGGACCAACAAGGACCTAATAAGACCCTAAACACAGTGCTGCAGAAACTGAAGGAGCGTATCAAGGAGCGGGACATAGCCCTGGAGGTATGACACTGTGCTGCCCCCTGCTGGGAGCAAGTGAGTACTGCCTGCACAGTAACCAATTGTGTCTGTCGTGTCCCACCAGCGTGCCATCGATGACAAATTCCAATGCCTGGAGGAGAAGGACGGGGACACGCGACGACTCCAGCTGGCCCTGAGGGAGAAGGAGAGGGACCTGGAGCGATTGCGCTACGTTTTGTCCAAGAACGAAGAGACCATCACGGTACAGACCTCACCATCACACGCTGCCATAATTCTTATGGAGGCAACTAAGTGTCTTTGTCTAACTTGGCGTGCGTATCTCAGACCCTGGAAGGTGTCCTACGAGGGAGGGAGCTGGAGCTGGAGCAGGTGAGAGAGGCCAACAAGAACCTGCAGTGGCTGAAGCAGGAGGCAGAGGAGCAGCAAGTGTGCGGCCTGAAGGAGCGGGACGCCATCATCAGCCAGCTGCGGGCCTCCCTGCAGAGCCGCGCTAAGGAGGCAGAGGTAGGGAAGGGCCCCCTCCGCCACTGCGGCTGCAGGCCTGCTCCAGGAGGCCTGCGGACCTTTCTTAGGTAGCAGCAAGCTTGAGTATACAGTAAATCAGGGGTGTTCAACCACCCTTCTCAGAGCAAGGGACCCCCTACCACTAATGCATGATCACATAACTGAGAATTAAGGGCTAGGGAGTGGGGTTTGAATATTTATTTTTTTGAGGAAGGAGCTCCTTGAATATTTTTGTATTTTGTAAACAGGATGTTTCTGCAGGGTTCATGCAGGTCCTCTACAGACCCCTAGGTGGTGTAGACCCCAAGTTGAAAACCCCTCTCTTCTTACCTTATTATAATTGTAGAGGAACTTCAGTGAGTGCTTTAGGTTTGTGAAAAATGTGACTTGAAGAAGGTGAGGTCCTACTCATGCCGTCATTCCCCGTGCCAGGACCTAACGGCGGCGCTGCTCAGCAAGGCGGTGGTGGATGGCCGCGATGCCCTGGAGGAACTTCAGCTCCGCCTCCAGCTGAAGGAGCGCCTGTTCCAGGAGGCCCTGTCAGACCGTGCCAGACAGGCAGAGGAGCACCAGGGCCAGGTCCAGGAGCTGCTCGCCGCCATCGGCACCAGGGATCACTACATCAAGGTAACTCCACCGGACCGGACATGGACTTGACATGTTAAATGTGGGGAAGCCTTCAGCAGACACTTTGCCTACCCCTGTCCCAGGATTCTGTGAGCCGGCTGGGTCAGGTGATCTCAGATCGCACCGGTGAGCTTCACGAGCTGCGCATACAGCTGGCTGCCCGAGAGCTGGAAGTAGCAGAGCTGAGCCAGCAGAGGGAACAGCAGCGGGAACAGCCAAACCTCCAGATCGACCGGCTGCAGAGCCGGCTGCGGGAGAAGGAGTCTTTCATCCGGGTGAGTGGCTGTGCGTTGGAGAGGAGGCTGGTTTCTTATACTGGCTTCAGATCTCTTGAAGACCTTTTCCGGCAGCCTGTCCTGTGATGGGGTGGCATGTCTGCGCAGTTGGCAGCCTGTCCTGTGATGGGGTGGCATGTCTGCGCAGTTGGCAGCCTGTCCTGTGATGGGGTGGCATGTCTGCGCAGTTGGCAGCTCTCTTGCCTCATGCCTCCGCCGTCCTGAGTTGTGTGGAGTTTGAATTCTCTCTCTGTTTCCATCGGTTTTCTCTGGATACTCTGCTGGATAAGCACCAGGCCATGGATGGATGGATGGATGGATGGATGGAAATTGCCCATTTGTGTGTATGTGCCCAGCGAAGGACTGGCGCCCTGCAGTGGTTGTTTGTCACCATGTGTCCTGTGCTTCCTGTAATATACTCCAGATTAATGCTGTATTTTATTAGCATTTATATAATGTGAGTGAACCTCATGTTACATTAGGTTTCTGACAGTTTCAGGACAGTGCTTATATCACACATGTGTCCTATCCTTTGCATGAATTTGTAAATTGTGATCCCTTGCAGGTTCTGATGAATGGTACCCAAGACGAACCAATGACCACCTCCATGCCAGAGGAACCAGCAGACACTGGGAACAAAAGTGAGTGAGGAACACTGGTCTAGCTTGCTGAAGACTCTCGTCTAGATTACCTCAGTCCACCGATACTTTGGGGTTGATACGGAGCATCGGTGTTGAGTTGGTGGGATTGTTTTTATAGAGGTATGAGTTTCTGAGTGTTCTCTTCATTGTGAACAGCATGTGACAGTGACTCTGGCCTGCAAGTTGACATTCATGCTGTGAGGGACGAGCTTCAGCTGGTCCTGAAGAAAGAGAAGGAGGCACAAGTAAGAGGCGCAGGAATACTCATGGGCACATGTGAGTTTGGGAAGCCCTTGAAGGTCAGTCCTGACTCGTATTCCCCTTTTATCCTTGTAACTACAGCTAGAACTTTCTGCCCTCCGCACTACTCTGGCCAAGGACAAAGAGGAAATCTTGACCTTGGCTACTGAGCTGGAGACCTACACCAGAAAGTTAGGCTTCAAGGAAGAGCTCATCAAGGTTGAACAATGTTGACCTTTTTTTGCTAAAAATAAAACCCTGAACATCACAGCTCTCATTTTAGCTTGTCTGTGTATGGTCCTGTGGGTTCTTGTACACAAACAGGATCTTCAGAAGCAGTTGGTGGAACCATCGGAGGTGCCGTTGGTCCAGAAGCTGACACAGGAGCTGCAAGAGCTCAGGGAAGAACAGGGGGACACTGGTAGTGCTGGTCATCAGGTACTGTGGAGATTTCTACATTAACTAATAAATCATTTCTTATTTTAGTGTAGCAACGTAGACACAAGTGAAACTGTGTCTTCTGTCACCTCACAAGTCATGTGTCTTGGCAGCACGTACTGGAGCAGCTGGTTTCTGGCTACAGCAGACTCAACGAGGCTGTGAGGGTGGAGAAGAGGGCGTACGAGAGTTTGGTTCAGGGCAGCACATCTGCAAGCAGGTAGGAGTCCCGTCCACTGCCTTTAGAGACAACAACAGCTTGAAAGCGTCACAGGTTTTAATCAGCAGTGTTGCAAATATTTATGATTCTTTTCACAATTGATCTTAAGACTTATTAAGGGCCCTTATGCTAAAGAAGTCTTGGTTGTAGTTAGTATTACCTTTGTCCTGGTCGTTTGTGACACCCTAGCGCTGAGAAGACCTGGGAGTTGCAGAGAGAGCTGGACGCGGTTCAGTCACTTCGTGGGCAACTGGAGACACACCTGGAAAAGAGCCGAAATGCTGCTGTTGCACCGGCAAGGGCAGTCAAGGCGCAGCCTGATTTTGGAGGTGGGAAACAGCGGAGTTTGGGGCTCCGTCAGGAAAAGACCTCCTGCACTGCAGGGGGCAGTAATGCTCATTCCGCATAGTGCACTAACGATGAAAGTGGGGTGTGATTCCTACACTAACCTGGGGATCTGTCTGGTCATGTTACTAACTAAAGTGGCAATGTGTGCAAATCATTTTTATTTTTTGTATTTTATCTTGATTTTCAAATTGCTGTCGTTATGGAATTTAGTGCAATATTTTTTTTTTCCCTCAACATTTTAATTGTACTGTACTTATTTTTCTGCCTTATCTTTGTGGTAAGGTTTTGAAAGCACAGTTGGTTTTCTACATAGGCCATTCATACTCAATTACACCTTCATACGCAGGCCAGCAAGGAGAACGTTTTTCTAAATGCTTTTTGCAAGGTTAGAAGGCCCGCTGAAATGTGATGTATCCATAACATTTTCTAACCTCTGCAGAGTTCACCTAAGTGGCTTTTATCATGCATTTTTAAAAAACATATTCATTATGACTGGGGGTGGAGGGAGGGGTAAATGATTCCATGAGCCAGCAAGAAAAAGAGGAAACAAAAATTACAGCAAAAAAAGAGCAAACGTTTTGTTGACCTGAATACTTGACTTGTTTTAGAGAAGTTTGACTGTTGAAGTGTGATCTGATCTGATTCTTCTTACTTATGTGGACTGGGTTTTTTATTTAACTTTTTCCAATCTTCTGGGTAAGCTGAGAAATAAACAAGGAGTTGGTCCTGACCAAACCTGCATTTGGGATCCATGTCTTGTGTGCGTAGACCTGTATCCAGAAGGAAGCAGTGTGGGGAATTGGTTCCCTTCAGAGATAAGCTGTGATGCAGTGTTTCCCAATCCGGTTCCCGGGGACCCGCAGACAGTCTAAGAGTGTGGACCTGCCGGGTCGGGGCTCAGAGTGAGCAACACGTGGGCCATCTGTGGGTCCCTGAGGACTGCGTGGGGAAACACGGCTGTAATCAGTCAGTCCTCAGAGCATTGCGTGCGGAATGCAAAGGCTGAACCTTGGTTGGGTTTAGGGTACTTGTACCCTCCTCACACCTTGTTTATACAGAGTGGCTCTCACCTTTTTTCTTTTAAATTTTCTGTTTCAACTTCCTGTGCTTTCATTTTGGTTTTATGTCTGGGATGGTTACCCTTCACCATTAAGCTTAGGCATCTCCATTTGGCTCGGGCCCCGGCCTCACTCAGCAAAAACGTTTAGCATAGCATTAGCACGAATGGCATGGATTCTTGTTAAGTTGTGTGTTAGGAAATGGTGTTTGGGTTGGGGGACGCATGCATGAAACATGTTAATGTGCCTGCAGCAACCGAGCATGAACCACGCAGCATGAGTGCTCCCATCGCTAACGGGAGGTGCAACACCACATGTGCATGCTACTAAAACGCATCCGTCGCAGAAAAGATAGTACCTCTAAATTTGAGTCCATTCGCCAGTCTGTTGGAACTTTCTATTGGCTTACTCCCGTTCTTACTGGAATTCTGATCAGGCCTTTTTTTATCCACGAGCAACACAGAAGTTCGACTCTGCAGATAACAGATGAAGTATCTGGGAGCATCTTACATTCACATTTTAACCTTGTTTATGCTTGACAGTAAGCGCCGAGCCTGAATCTTAAGTTTTAACTCCATTTGTAATTTTCACCTCTCCATTCTCCATTTAAAAACAGCTCACAGGTAAGTACTTACTGCTGTTTTTCTTTTTCTCCACTACGACCCAGTGTCTTCAGATATTTTATACATCGCACTTCAGTTTCCATTTGGTTCTCATTTGTCCCCCCGACCCCCCCCAACTACATTAGAGGAGAAACGAAAGGAAACGTGTGATTATATTACAAGGACCATCGAAAATACACCAAGAAGGAAACTGTATGTTTTTTGTAACGTCTTCACATGGAGCTGCTGTTTTCTGTTTTGTTATTTTTTCCCCACGATGTAACGCACTTATAAAGCAAAATGTTGGAAGCTTCCGATCGCACCTTCTTCCACCTGATGTTGAAGCTAAATAAACACACCATCAATGATCCTGTGAGTTTGTCTTAGTTGATTTGAATCATCGCTCCATCTTTGGGCCACTTTGACCCATGTTAATCATCCCATTGTCAGTCCCAGGCCCAAACTAACCTTGTAGTTTAGCAAGCAAGAATTAGGGCCCTACCAATGTCTTCCAACGCCACCCAGCCCTGCACATGCAGAGACTCACACAAAAGATATAGTCATACAGGGACATTTGTGCACGTCATGTTTGCTGAAATGCTTCCCTATTTTAAGAAGCTTGCAGCAGAAACATGTGGACCAAACTTTGGACATTAACTTGCCTTGGCATGTATCCATACAGGCATCTGATGAATGCTTCTGTGATAATTTTAAATCGCTGATAGGTAACTGCAGCACAGATTTGGATAAATGCTTTAATGTCATTTTTGACATTTGACATTTTTGTATTTTTTTTTTAAATCTATGCATTCCGTAGCCACTCATATTTTTTTCTATATACAGTATAAGCAGTGAAGGCACAACTGGTCCCATGACATCTGTTTATAAACATCACCACCCTCAATCAAAATCACTTTTTTGTGTGCCAAAGGCTCATTAATCTTAATGACAGTCAGTAAAAGTTTTCTGCTCCACAGAGCTGTGGGCAGTATAGTCAGTCCCTTTGGCTGAATAGCATTCGGTTCCCAGGACGATGGTCTAAAATACAAATATGATTTCTAGTGCTTCCTGTTACATTATATTGCCTCATGGGCTAGACCAATCAAAACAGGGCATTACCTGTCAGTCTGTTAGACTAGATGCTAAAACATAATTTTTAAGCCTATATAGATTCATACAATGAACAACTGTATACAATAACCTTGTTACAATTAAATTAAAAGCCTGTTCAGCTTCTCTGTCGCTTTTGCAGGCATGAAACCAGTATAAGTGAGAAAATTAAGAATGAATCACAATATCAGATTTTGCTTTAAAAGTTCTCGGTACCTAACTGGGAGAAACGTATCAATGGAAAGTCTGCACAATCGAGGTTCCCACTGGCTGCATTCCCAGCCGTCTGCGCAGCCGGGCCGTCTCTGTGCAGTGTCCTTCCAAGCAGGAAGTGCCTTTTTTCTGCGTCTCTTAGAATCAGCAGTAATGAAGGCCTTAGTCTGGCTGAATGCAGGAGTTGTTTTTCCTTTATGTCACTGGTCCCTTTCGGTTTCTTTCTATTTTTTATTTATTTTTTTGCTTTACAGAGGGGGAAGCGAGAAGCCCTGCTTGGATTGTTTATCCCTCATAGAATCAGTTGCTTTTGCCTTTATGTAACATGACCCGAACAGGCCAGTCCCTGGGAGTGTTTCATGGGGGGGCAAACATTAATGTCACTCTGTGCTCTCTGATGTCGTGGGCTGTCTGTCGCGTCGCTCCCGATGTCCTCAGCAGTCCTGTTGGAGGTTATTGGTACGTCGGGGCTCACCTGTCATTGTCACCGCTGTGCTTGCAGAGCTCAGCACGGAGGAGAGCGACGACGATGACGACGGTGGCAGCAGCGAGTTCACAGATAGCATTGAGGAGGAAGAAACTTTCAAGCTTACCGCTCAATCCCTGGCCACAAACCAGGTACAACAAAACCCTCATTGTCAAATGATTTATTTGAAGCGCTGTTCGAAATTACTCTAGTTAGCTATAAGACTGTTAACTGAAAGATCTGGTAAGCGTATACAGTACCAGTGAAAAGTTTGGACTTGGCAAGTCGCCTACATAGGAGAGTGATAGTGTCTCATCACATGACCTGGCCCACTGACCTCAACAAAAGATTAAGATTTTGGCAGAGTTTGACCAGAAAGTGATGGAAAAGCAGCCAATATGTGGGACCTCCTTCAGGACAGCTAGAAAAACATACCAGGAGGCCACCTCATGAATCTGGCGTAGAGGGGTACCTTGCTCAGGGTATCTCAGCGGTGCCTTGCTGGTCAGATGCTAATCGATAATCTTTTCTCCATAGATCCCCCCGGACATGTTAGACCTGCACGGGAGGGCGGTGGTCAGGAGTCCATCCCAGAATGCACCTGTGGAGGGACAGGGGTTGGTGGAGGTGCAGCAGCTGGTGGAGCAAAAGAAGGCGGTGGAGCGGGAACTGGGCGAGCTGAAGAGCCAGCTTGAGAAGGCCGGATACAGCTCCCTGTCTCAGATGCGGTACTTTGCGATTAACCATTGCTGATTTTCACTAGGCCCTAGGTTAGAGCGTGTGCCCAGCTCACAGACGCTTATGTGAAGGTTCATTGCAACCTTTCCTGCCACTCTGTTGCGCTACTTTTCCTAGTTCATAATTCTACAAGGCTTGCAAAGTCTATGGTTCACTTGACTTATTAGAGTCTGACAAAGTCCCGAGAGCCCTGTTTGTACTAGTCAACTAGGTCATTTGGATTATTAAATCTAAATATTATACATGTAGTGGAATCTCTGTCCTGGATTTCTTTCTTAGCCAGATTTAAGGTAGTCTGGGCTAAATGTAAATGAACGCAGATAAAGTTTGTTTACACCGGGGTACCTTAAATTTGTAGTTAAAGAATCATATAAGCCAATGTGATTGGTTGATTGAGTTTCATATCATACGTTGGACATGGTTTATCAATATAGGCAGGCTTTGCCTTTATTACCTCGTCTTTTGAGCCTCTCAATAAACTGTTGACTATTTGTGAGGGGAATTCCTCAGCACTCTTCAACGCTGACAACAGTCATTTATAAATGTTGAATGGGTGGCAGTTCGGGTCATTTTAGTGTCCAGGGTGGGGCAGCACCGAGCACCTGTCACATTTGTGCCCTCCAGGAACGCGGTTGTCAAGCTGCGGGCAGAAAACAGCAACCTGAAGGGGATGCTGGCACAGATGGCGCACAGAGCACAGGACCGGGTGGAGGAAGGGCGGCCGGAGGAGGGCGAAGCACGAGGGGCATGGTCAGGTGGGGAGTTGAGCCCCACCCAGGGCAAACGCTCCATGTCCAGCTCACCGCCCCGTGAGGGGAAGAGGAGGTGTACCCGGCCGGTGTCTCTGGACCTGGGCACCTTGCTGTCCAGCCCCTCCTTAGAGGTGCGCTCCCAAGACTGAGTACCCTAAAACATGTCTGCTTTATAACTTAGGTGAATTGCAATCAAATAAGATAAAAACTGGCATAAATGTCAAACTGTATCAATATCCATATGCTAATTCTGCAGCATTTAGGTAAACTGTAAGTATACTTTAGCTAAAAGTGTTTCAATCAAACAGTCACAGGAGGTGATGTGTAGTAAAATTAAGGCAGCAAATGAGGCCTTTGCAGGCTTCTGAGTTATATACTGATTGTCCTGGAGGGCAGCAGCTTCTTCTTTTTCTGATTATGGTCATAACGTATAAGAATACAATCCTGCTATTTGTTGCCGAAACCAGGAAGCACAGCCTGTGGAAAGTGTGGACCGGATCTGGCAGCATGTGGAGGCGGGGCTTAAGGAGAAAGCACGGCAGCTGCACCTGGACCTGGCGCAGAGCCAGCAGGAGAGTCAGGAGCTTCAGGAGAGGCTGATGGTATCCGAGGCAACGGTCCAGGCCCAGGCAGAGCAGCTGAAGGACTACAGGGAGCTGCTCAGTGAGTGACCGCGCTCACACTCACGCACACACACCGGCAAACAGAGTCTCTCTCTCACACACACACACACACACACACCGGAAAACAGAGTCTCTCTCACACACACACGCACACACACACACCGGAAAACAGAGTCTCTCTCACACACACACGCACACACACACACCGGCAA